TGCTCCCTAAGTGTGGTGTATTCTGCTGACTGGTGTGCTGTATATAGGACACCCTGAAAATGCATATGTCCAGGTCTCGTCTTTACGGTCTGTTTTACACTGCATGCATTAGTAAATTTATTCTGCACCCATTTAACAGCTTAAAGCATTCACACCGCATGCTTAAGTGTGATTCCAAAAAAAAAAAATAGCGAAGCACACAGAAAACACATTGAAAATGTGCTGTACACTGATTTATCAGCATTTATGCAGAAACATGAAATAAAGGGTCAACTACTCATCCATTGTTTGGAAAAAAATATCAAGTTTATTGTGGGGAGCCAAAAAAATACAATGCAATACAATACAATTATGATTAAGAGATTGTGACTCCATAACCTGCCAATACAATAAACAGCTCTGAGGACATGTTTTAACATCCAAAGTATTATATTCTGTATCTTTATGAATAAAATAGTTTATTTTATGCAAAGCATCAGGCTTTTCCATCACGCGAAAAGACCGCGACACTGGTTAAAGTTGATTCACACCGCACGCCTGTATGTTGCTCTGCATAAAATTGAACGATATACAGCACAGTAACGATTTTATAGATAAAATAAAATGTACACAAACCTGTATTTTACCGAAAAATGCATCAATTCGATGGCGCTTAGAACTGCTCTCTCGTGACAAGAAGACGCAAAATCCCCGTGATAAATAACTCAACCGCTGGGTTACGTCTACCCAAACACTGAAAAAATAACCCCCCCCAAAAAAGGCTCAACCCAGCATTTGGGTTTAAAAAAATAACCCAGGATTTTTTTAGAGTGTATAGTGCATTTTCTTTACAGTAAATCTAAACTTTTATAACTTTTTGATACTTTAATTTTTTGAAAAAAAATTCACTTTTGCAATAATCTGCTGATTTTCTTCTTTAAAAAGAGACCAACCTTCTGTATTCTATTCTGTACTAAATAAGGTCTGTATTCCAAAGTGTTCATAAATTACAACAATTTAAGTTTGGATATTGCACTTTAATGCCTATTTTAATAAATGGGGGGTGACAGTTAAGGGGTATGATTAACTATTCTAGATTAAGCCTATACTCTTGGCTTAATTTAAACCCTGTCCGGAAAACTGCCCCAGTAGTGTACACTTAGTGTTAATCTACAGATTTAGGATTGACTTAATCCTTCCTCAATAAGAATATGGATTCTACATTTATAAATGAACTGCCTCTACCGAAAAGACAAAAACTATAAGCTTACTTATTAGAGTGAACATTTCATCCTGCCTTATCAACAATCAATTTTTGGAAGATTCACTTCGCAAAGGGATCCCAGTATTGCCTCCAACACAAATAAAAATGCCTGATCAGAAAGAAATGAAACTGCTTTTCCTTTTATCATGCCTGGTTGCCACAAAATTCCCATCTCTGATCTTGTAATGTTGAGATGACCTGATGACCAGGGCGATGACCTGACTGATAGAACTTCGTAATACAAGAACTGTCCCCAACAATAATACAGCTTGTCCAAAACAGATACTTGCTTAAACGTTGAGTGAAGATCAGTATTAAAAGATGTTTTCTCATTGTCTCTGTGGAAATATGCATCAGGGAAAAGGTTTACCAGGTTTTTGCCATCAAATAATATAGTAGTCAGACTTGCTTTTGCTGTAAATGAATGTGCCTTTAAAGAAAGTTGACTTATGTGCAACACAAACACCATTAAATCAAAGAAAGCAATGTCCCACCTGAATTGTTTCAAGCCTGAATGGTACTGTTGCATAAAACACTGGTCATCTGTGCATGATGTTATGTCAACCCTGCTGGAAAAAAAAAACAGCATATGCTGGTTAGGTATATTTTGAAGCATTTTTTTAGCTGGTTTAAACTGGTCCTTAGTTGGTCATGAGCTGGTTTAAGCTGGTCCTAAGCAACTAGCTCCTGCTCAGGACCAGCTTAAACCAGCTCATGACCAACTAAGGACCAGCTCAAACCAGCTGCCATGCTTCAAAACATACCTAACCAGCATGCAAAATGCTGTTGTTTTTTTCAACAGGGAATACATCCTTTTGTGGACTGACAATGCTGCTATAATTGTTTGCATGAGTTTTATTCATAGCAGTTTAATATTTACATAGCAGTAATCAGTATTTAATATTTCAGATACTTATATATAACAATCCGATTTTATTCAGTCAGAACAGTCTCAGTGGCTGGTTCTTGGCAAGAATAAACTGGGCCAGACTTTGTGCCGATAATCAAAAGCCAGGGCTGGACATGCACGATAACTCCTAACAGCATTAGGATCAGTGTCAGGATGCAGGTCCACTCTTCTGTATCCTTACACTCTTGCTCAGCTGTGACCTCAAAGGTGTGGCGTTACACCTCCATATTATTCTGTTAAATCAGCATGATCAGAATTTAATAGGCTATCTGTTGATCAGGCTGAGAAATGCTACTCACAGTCACAGTCGGTGCACTCTATCAGCTATTGTTTTGCAAGATCTTTTTAGGTGGTTTGGCCAGGCTGCTGTACTTTTTCCATTTTGGTTAGATTTTCTGAAGGGGAATGAAGAAGCAGAAATTTATCAGGAACCAAAGAAAATAGTAATGGGGCATCAGATTAGTGAGCTCTGAAAGAAGGGATAAGTATCATTAGTAATCAGAACATTCAGCATTCCAATAAGTAATTTGGTTATCAGGTTTGGGCTAGTTTAATTTTGTTTGCTCACCTGTCAGGCTTTACTGTTGGATCTACTTTCATGCTACTGGGGCAATGCTGACTGATGATGAGCGGAGGGATTGAATTCACAATAATTAGCATTACTATATTCTATTAGATACAGTTACTGTCTGTTTCAATACACTGGTGTGCAATAAAGGCAACATTTGCAAATGATCCAAAGTGTTGGAAGAAGGAAGTTATCTGTCTAACTGAAGAACAGGGCGTCGTACTGAGGGCAGAATACGTGGGTAGTTTTAAATGGAAACTGACATTTGGCATGGCTAGAGGAGTCCCTGGTGGCCATTTTGCTGAGATAATGGTAACTGTCTTCTTTAGTTAAACTGCCTCATTGCTCAGTGCTAACACAGGGTGTAGGAGTCCAACGCATTGGTATTCTGGGGCTACACACAGCTCGGCAGCCCTGTGAATTAACACTCAATCTGTCATCTGCAACCAGTGAAATATCCGGGAAGGCTAATGCAGACGGATGGGAAAGAGACATTAGCTGAGGAAGTGATGTATTAACACAATACTGCTTATGTCTCTAAACTGCTTTAAAGCCATAGCAATGTTCTTTATAGGTGAAACAAAATACCACTTTTCATGAAACATAAATGCATTTAGCAATAACATGCTGCCATGCTGTCGCCAAACCCATATTTAATTATAATGGGTGCAGTAGGCAGCATAGTTTTAAAACTCTGGGCTGGTAAAGCAAGTTTACAGGTCAGACACGGATGACCTTTTAATTAAAGAGACATGGTGAGAACATCACTTTTTTTTTAGCTTTTCACCCCAGGTTGCATAAATTCTCCAGTTCTCAGGACCCTCGCTTTCTACTCTGCATAGTTTTTGCTATTCTAACTATTCTAGTTAGTTGCATTTTTTTTCACATTTCATATTTACATTGTCTAAATTAATTACAAATGTGAAATACAAGCAAATGCTGTTTTAAATGGAAAGTAATCACTGCCCTGAAATTAAGCAAGTTGTTTAGACTGGATTAATCAATAGTCTTTCAACTGTTTGCCTGAGTAAGTGGATGACCCTGGTCTCCATTAGACTCTTTGTCATGAATTCTCAATGACAGTGTCCCCACAATAAGATATCACACCATTGATTAATTTCACAGACAGAAATGGATGACTGACAGGAGGACGAACAAGATGTGACAGATGTGATTGTTGATGGTGTGCACTGATGACAATGTCTGTTCTCTCAGTTGTATCTTTTGTCACATAGTTTTTGGTAAAAGATAAAAAAGTAATATACTACTGTAATATTATTACTTTTGTAATGCGTTACTCCCAACACTGCTGATGACAATGTCTGTTCTCTCAGTTGTATCTTTTGTCACATAGTTTTTGTTAAAAGATAACATGCTATTTTTTATATTGTCCCCACAATAAGATTTCACACCATTGATTAATTTCACAGACAGAAATGGATGACTGACAGGAGGACGAACAAGATGTGACAGATGTGATTGTTGATGGTGTGCACTGATGACAATGTCTGTTCTCTCAGTTGTATCTTTTGTCACATAGTTTTTGGTAAAAGATAACATGCTATTTTTTATAGGAGAGAAGTTGTGGTGGTGTGACTTATTTAAACCACTGTGCTGAAAAAAATAAGTTGTATGGTATAATGAATAGCTGTGATTTTCTTAATTGTGTTGTTTCATTTAAATATCAACATTTGTGAGACATTGTTTTGAAGATATTTGATCTTATTTTCTGTCTGTGAAAAAAAATAGTTATCTTTAACATTGTAAAAAATTATGAAAGCGTAAAGTTAAATTTAGACCTTTGTGGTAAGATGCCCTCCCAGAACTGGCACAGAAGGAATTGAGTGGCATGGTTTTGCTAGTGTTATTATTATTTGTATTAAATGTTTAAACTTAGCTACTTAACTAAATTTTCTAAATATAATTTAAGTAGAATAGTTGATTTAGTATTTTATATTAATGACATTTTAAAATATATATAAATATTTATACTTTTTTAAAATATTAAATTATTTAAATAAATTATTAAATAAATATTAATAACACATTGATTGATGCATCATCATCCTACCATCCTGCATGCAAGTATGTTTCAATTTAGCCTAACAGTAGATGCACATTGTAGAGGGGCATCTTCCACCATTGTACCATATAATATCACTATAGATTTTTTATGTTCTACCAAATACATGTGGTATATAATACGCCCTTTATAAATTCCGTACAAATATATACTGTTCTCGTTTAATTTATCCAGTGAATTATCCTTCTCTTCCCCAAACATCGCGAGACGGTATTTCAGTGGCGTGACGTCAGAACGCACAGAAACAGTCAACATGTCGCTGGCGAGGTAAGTCGCGCTGAATCTCTTTTTATGGTTTTATGTTTCTGCTTTTGCATTAAAGGTAAATATTAAGAGGTTTACGTGTTTTTATTTGTCCACATATGATTTTTGTTGTCAATTTGCGTTCTTCATTAGCGGAGTTGTCTTATTTGACGCTCTGAGGCCTGCGGTCGTGTGCTCTTTGTATTACAGTATACGCCCATATACTAATGTGTGTGGATGTAAGTTTACATCCAATATATAAGGATCACCCGATGATTTAATATTTTCTGTTTTCCTCACTTGCTTTTTTTTTTTTCGATCTTGTAGTTTTCTCCCTGCACCCACCCAACTGTCCCAGGACCAGCTGGAGGCAGAGGAGAGGTCTCGTCTTCAGAGGTCCCAGTCCACTGCTTTGGTCTCCACCCGCAGAGAACCTCCTGCTTACGGCTTCAGAAAAGCATGGGTGCCCCGGTCACTAGAGGTACTGCACAGGAGATATGTATATAAATTAGTGCTGGGCAACGATTAATCGCATCCAAAATAAAAGGTTTATGATATAAATATATGTTAGACATACATGCTATGCAAGAAGGTGTGCATTCAAACTTTTGATGCACAGGTAGTTCCAGTCAGTTAATCACATTCTACATTTATGTGATGTCTTCATCTATGTATATGAGGTTTGATCGGTGGTCTCTAAAAAGACCGATCTCATAAACCGATCTAAAGCTGATGACGCACCTGCCGTCAGGGGTTTGGCACGACATGCAGCGGCACCGTCTTAGTCTCTGTCCTGTGATTAATCGCGATTAATCATTGCCCAGCACTGATATAAATATATGTTAGACATACATGCTATGCAAGAAGGTGTGCTTTCAAACTTTTGATGCACAGGTAGTTCCAGTCAGTTAATCACATTCTACATTTATGTGATGTCTTCATCTATGTGTATGAGTTAAAGATAACTATCGGCCGATAATCGCTTTGGGATGTTTGATCGGTGGTCTCTAAAAAGACCGATCTCATAAACCGATCTATAGCTGATGATGCACCTGCCGTCAGGGGTTTGGCACGACATGCAGCGGCACCGTCTTAGTCTCTGTCTGGCGCTGGTAAAATAATTATAATGCTGAAGGTGAGGTACAATTCATATTTCTTCATTAAGTAACTTGTAAAGTAATTTGAAAACTTTCTTTAAAGCAAAATGCAAGGAAATGGCTTGCTCTGAAAAGAGCTGTTTTTGACAAGGTAAAAAGTGTGATGTTTTTACACTACCGTTGAGAAATTTTAACCAAACAATGTTACAGACTTTTCATTAAGACCCTAACGAATCATATCAACTTGTGGAAAATTGGCATCCAATGACCCCTTTAAAGCATGCAAATTTCTATATCTAACCAACTAAAAAAGTGACTAGTATTGCATCCGGTGGTTCTTTGCCTCTGCGTTGTGCATTCAAATGCACACCTGACCTCACTAAGGATTGTCCCTAATATATACATTTTAAATGTGAGTGTTGTTTGAAAACTAAACTTGGACAAAACTGAATGGAAAAAAGAGTGTTCTCTTTGCATTCACACTGTTCATGGCTTTTAGTTGTTGTGTTAAATTTCCTGTCCTGCTCATTTTTAAATATTAGAAACTAATAGCAACAGCAGTATTTTATGTCAAAGGCCAATCCGGAGCAGGTCACCCACCATAGTTGTAGGTAGATGAGGCAAAATTATCTGCCGCTGTGAAAAAAGCACCTGGTTTTGGCTGGTGGCAGGTGTTATGAAAGGTACACGCCTTCACAGCAAGGACTTGCATTTAACTCCGGAGCAAAACAGAGAGTCATCCGAATGGTGGAAATGCAGAAGGATCCAATGGAACCCCCGCGGTTCAAGTATGTCGCCTTAATCTTAGTTTTAAGAGAGTGAGAGTGAGTGTGATCCGTGTAGGAAACTCAATGTTTGTGTTTTCTAACAGAATCAATAAGAAAATTCCTCGAGGACCTCCATCCCCTCCTGCTCCAGTCATGCACTCTCCAAGCAGAAAGGTAGGAGTTTGGCTTCCGCCAACTATTAATCCCAGCATCGATAGTCATCAGCTTTGTTTACACTCAGAATCCACAGAAACCTGTCTGGAGGAAATCTTTCTGAGAACATCTTAACTAACCTCAAAGTGTCTGTTTTTTCCTCTTATTTTTTTTTTTTTTTTTAGATGACTGTGAAAGAACAGCAGGAGTGGAAGATTCCACCTTGTATATCCAACTGGAAGAACGCAAAGGTATCACTGAGCCTCCATCAATTATTCATCTTTTTATTGTTGGTTAAAAAATATTGACAGTGAATACAACGGTGTTGCTTTCTCACATCTCTCATTGTTGCTTCTCAGGGTTATACCATTCCGCTGGACAAGCGTTTGGCTGCTGACGGACGAGGACTTCAAACCGTCCACATCAATGAGAACTTTGCCAAGCTGGCTGAGGCTTTGTACATTGCAGACAGAAAGGTATAACACCTTCCCTTAACACTCTGAATCCCACGTTGCTAAGTTTGCTGACTTTTAAAAAGTTAAGAAATCTTCAGGACTCTGTCAACATTACAGAACAGTTTCTCAGACCAAAATGATGTCTGCAGCACTATATGGGGGTAACTCTATCTCAGGGTGACATCTGTAGAAGAATAGTCATATGGCTTCTCTGTGATAAATTTGGAGACTAATTCATTTACTGTTCTAGCTTCTTCCTGGTGGAAATGCTCACTTTTTACAATGTAAACAGTTCCCAATGAATAAGAAAATAAATGAAAAAGTTATTTTGTGGGCTGGCCAGTGTTTGTTTAACTCTGTTTTGTTTTTACTGATGTGTGTGCAAGACTGATACTACTGATGTTTTTGGTTGTGTGATGTGTACAGGCCAGAGAGGCTGTGGAGATGAGAGCTCAAGTAGAAAAGAAGATGGCCCAGAAGGAGAAAGAAAAGAAAGAGGAGAAGCTGAGAGAATTGGCTAAAATGGCCAGGGACAGGAGAGCTGGTATCAAAGCCCACGGTGACAAAGGTAGAAAAACATACACCATCACTGAATGTCTACAATGAGAATTGGGAATGCTTTTTAAATTTTAATTGAATCCAGTTTGATACCAAGTTGCCTAAGGATTCAGAGTTATTAAAATTAGATTTTAAAGTTTAAGTAGCATAAAATGGAATGCATTTATAATGAATGATTCAGTATCTTATCCAACACGATGTATGGGATATTTTCTGAAACATTAGATATTTATGTATAACAATCAATGAAATAGTTATTGCTGCCTGCATTTGATCATTTAACATTCTTAACATTTTATATTGAATATGTTATTAATAGATTTTCTAATGAAAAAGTAAAAGAATTTGGTCTTGACCCTGGTTTTGACTGACCCTCATGTCCGGTCATAAGTGTGCTGTCAGATCTGTTGGCGAGATCACCATCTGTGTCTTTGATTTTCTCTCAGCTGGTGAGGACACAGAAGTCAGGGAGCGTGAAGAGATCCGTCATGAGAGGAGGAAAGAAAGGCAGCACGACAGGAACATCTCCAGAGCCGCCCCTGATAAGAGGTGCATGCATTTTTTACACTTTTGCCCTGAATCATTCATGTTCCAGTAGAACTGGTGCACGCATTCCACTTTAACCTACATGATTTAGTGTTATTTTCTGTCCTCTGATCTCACACGAGTCCCGTATGTGTTAAATTTTACATCAGGTACCTTTTAGTGAAACAAACTGACTCCGTTCAGACCAAGCTTGTCATACTTCTTAACATGCATTTAATCTGTAGTTGTAATCGCTTTAATTATTCATGCTTTTTCCTCAAAAGATGTTCGTGTGACAATTCCCCAAACTCCCAGTTTGAGACTTGTGTAACGTAGTGTGATAAGTGTGGCTGTATGTATGAGGTGTTAATGTGAGTTTAACTGATGTCAGTGTGATTTTGGTCTGCTCAGGTCGAAACTACAAAGAGATCAGGACAGGGACATCAGTGAGCTCATTGCCCTGGGCCAGCCGAACCCCCGTACCTCCAGTGAGGCTCAGTATGACCAGAGACTCTTCAATCAAAACAAGGTAATCAACCCTTGGGCTTTGCTCATCTCAGATTACTGATTTTAGGTCAGTAAAGATATTCCTAAAATGGGAAAGTGCTTTTGTCTTTTTGTTTAGATTAGTTAGGTGTGCAATTAAAACACATGAGACAAAACTAAACTTTTAATGGTAATAATGGTGATATTTATCTGCGTTTAAGACAAAGACAGAATCTATAAACTTTCATCAAAATTAAGTATTTTATCTGCCCCTAACTTTTCTGTTGATCAGTCTAAGAACTTATGAGCAGGAAGTGTGTTAATATCAAAGTCATTTCATATCATCTAATCAAATATTGAATTCCTAGAGAAGTCCTGCTCTACTTCATTCACCACAAAATATTACAATTTGGTTTCAATCTGAAGTACTTGCCAATGCATGTCTTATGCCAATTAATGGTCTAAATGGGAATAAAAATCAAATCGTGGTCAAACGACAATCAAAACATGATTTTTAGACTGGGAAATTAAGTCAGTGCATGTACATTTTTTGAGTTGTTTGAAATATTTTGACTTTAAAATGTTAAAAATCCAAGTCCAGTAATCAGAAATGTCTGTTAGATGCATACTTTATAGCTGTAAGTTTGCCTTGTTTTCTATAGGCATGAAACTCATTCTTTGCTTGTGTTTTTCAGGGGATGGACAGTGGTTTTGCTGGTGGAGAGGATGAGATGTATAATGTGTATGATCAGCCCTTCAGAGGTGGCAGAGACATGGCACAGAATATTTACAGGCCCAGTAAGAGTGCAGATAAGGACATGTATGGAGACAACCTGGACACACTCATGCAGAGCAACAGGTATGGAGACACCTGGACTGAATATTTGCATGCATTCAAAAAAAAAAAAAAAAGCATCAGATCAAAAACATTTTTAAAGAAATTAATGAAGATTTGAGTAACTTTCTAGGTAAGAAGCAAAGTTGATCATTACTAAAAACTAATACGTTTTCTTAGAAAGGCCCTATTTGTCATGTTTGTTTATTGTATTACTGTAAGTTCTGGTGCACACAATTTAACCATGTCCCATCCTTCTCTAGGTTTGTTCCTGATCGGGAGTTCTCAGGTGCTGACCACGGCCCCCGCCGGGACGGGCCCGTGCAGTTTGAGGAGGATCCTTTTGGTTTGGACAAGTTCTTGGAAGAAGCCAAACAGCACGGAGGCTCCAAAAGGGCGTCCACTAGTGGGCGCTCCAAGGACTACGACCATGAGAAGAAACGCAGGAAGGAGTGAGACGCTTCCTTTGTCCACAGCTGCAGGGTCAAATGCTCCCCCTGCCCCTACTTTTTTGCAGCTGTGAATTGAATTATGAAACATTAGTAATATGGTATATCATCCATTTTTTATTTTTATCATCCTCTTAAATCTGTTTTCTTTAACTCGAAAGTGTGAACTTAAACCTGTTGTACTGCAAAGCCACCCTAATAAATGTCTTTTAGAGGATTACATTGAATTTTAAAGATTGTTTATGGTGGGTGTAAGATTTGTCTATAGTAATCTCTTAACAGTGCTCCAACTACTTTGGTGCAAGGTGTATTTAATTTTAAATGGCTCTCTCCATTAGTCTTATAAATCCAGTCCACAGTGGTTTCAGCTGCTGAGTCTGCTCTTTATATCCAAGAGCGAATTAAGCCTCTCAAAAAACATTTGTTCAAGGGGGGAAAGATTAGTATTGTTTAGTTAGTTTTAGAGCCTTATCGAGAATGCATTGCTAACATTTTATGCAAAAATTAAGCTTTTATTTGGTCTTAAGAAATGGGTTGAATAATTCTTTAAATAATTTTCTGTCCCCTAAGATGTTTCAAATGTAAATGTAAGAAAGGACATAATACATTTTATATGGAATCTATTTAATTTCTTTTTTTATTTTGCATTGAAAATAGATTTGTTGTGAAAACAATTTCAGATTCAGACATTTCTAGTGAATTTAATAAGTAATTACAAAGAATTGGTAAGTAACGCATTGAATATGACATTTTGAAGTAGAAAGACAAAATGTATACAGTGAAGAGTGAACGTGCCAGATTTATCTTTGATATGTATAAATGGTGATCATCAGCGTTTTCACAGCAAGTAATCAATGTACAATGCTGCTTACCATCACACAAGCATTTAAGGAAAACAAAAGAGCAGATGGCTGAATAGTGGCAGTGATGAAGAAATGTAATGGTGTAATAATTAGGTGTCATTATCAGAATGTCTTTTTTCATGAGGTTAGTTGACTGCTATACTTTTCCAGGCTTTTCTTTGAAACGTTAAAAATCTCCTTGCAATTTATATAATGGTTCACTTAAAGGTTGATTAATACCATAATTGTGTAGTTTAAAGATGTTTTGTCCCTAATATATCTGAAGCTGCAGAATTTCTCTTCATAACACTGAATGATTTCATTATGTGCAGTAACAATGTCATCTGCCATTATGTAGTGCTATATTTGTATGCCAGTCATGAGGCCAATCTAACTCAAAGATGTCTTTCTGAAAGATCATCTTTGATTTAGCCATGGATTACACATTGGAAATGTCCAATGTAGAAGTTGCTAATATGATTTAGGTTTCCTAATTGAAACATTCTATGCTTGAGTAATTTCAAGACATTTTAAATGCCTGGACTTGTGATATTTGGGTTTTTGTTCCCTACGTTTGAATTATTTCTTGAAAAATGAGCCCAATTTACACACATAATGTAAATTGTACATTATGTAAATTTACATAATGATTAAATGTCCCCACAGAATTTAAAGGGCCAATAAATAACAGCAACTTTTCTCAAAACTACTGGGATTTATGTGTCGCTTAAAGGAATGCCAGTCTCATTTATTACCTTTGATTACTATTAATACAGTCGTGGTCAGAATTATTGGTGCCCTTGGTAAATATGATCAAAGAAGTCTGTGAAAATAAATCTGCATTGTTAATCATTATGATCTTTTATTTTTTTTTTAAATCACATAAATCTAACCTTTCATTGGAGAATAATAATTTAAAATGGGAAATATCATTATGACATAAATGTTTTTGTTTTATCTGTTTGTATTTGATAGAATCAAAGATGCCATGTATCTAAACAAGATGTCCAGGACCTCCAGCAGAAATATAGGCCCACAACATTAAAAATACAGCAGTATATTTCATTGTACACATGGGGTACTTTTTATCCCTGTGTGCACCAAGCCCATCTTGAGTGTTTGTTGCTAAAAAGCTATTTTTTGGTTACATCTGACCATAGAAGCCAGTCCCATTTTAAGTTTCAGTCGTGTCTGAGAACAGAATATGCTGGGGATTGTTTTTGGATGAGAGCATTTTCTTTTCTTGATTTTTTTATCTTGAAACCCTCCCAAACAAATTTCTAGGGGTGCCAATAATTGTGTCCAATGTGTATTAGCGAAAAACATTTATTTCATAATGAGATTTTCCCCCATTTCCAATTGTTTTAGTTCAATGAAAGGTTATATGTTAAAAGGTAAAATGATTAACAATGCAGATTTATTTTCACAGCCTTCTTTGATCATATTTACCAAGGGTGCCAATAATTCTGACCACGACTGTATATCACTGGAAATTTAGCAACCACAAGGTCCACTGTTAAAATAATTTGGAGTTTTATTGCACATATGGTAGGAAATTTACAAAATATCTTCATGGAACATGATCTTTACTTAATATCCTAATGATTTTTGGCATAAAAGAAAAATCAATAATTTTGACCAATACATTGTATTTTTGGCTATTGCTACAAATATACCCCAGAGACTTGTTTTGTGGTCCAGGGTCACATATTTCATTGGCTAATTTTAAAAGTATGTAGCACTTGGGGAGGGTGTAGTGATCAGCCCTGAAATGTGTCATTTCTTAAAAGTAATATCACTTAAACTCTGCTATGTGTAAAGCATTGCAAATGTGAAGTTGTTTTATTATTATTATTATTATTATTATTATTATTATTATTATTATCTACCAATAAGAGCTTAACTCTTTTTTACAAAGATTTTCCTTGTGTGCAGATTCTGGAAATATAGTAATGTGTTTCTGCAATGCATTTTGTGGAGGAAATATGGAGGAAGTGTTATTATATACTGTAATTGTCTCTTTTATGAAGCTCTTTAGAATCCAGTCATGCTTAATACATCAAGGCAGAATCTATATGTCTTGTTACAGCCAAACACTCATTATCAAAATATCCTTTCTCATTTTGTTGCTCATTTCAATTCAGCATTGTCCAGGTTTTCAGGTGTATTTAATTCATCACGACAGGCAGATAATGAGTCCTCGCTCTTCTGTTGTTTGTATTTCCAAATGCATAGAGCAAGAAAAATGAGTTCCTCATTGATGGCAGCCTAAGGAAATTGGTTCTTCTGCAAGCCAAACAACCAGCACATTGTTTTGTGTCATAATGGAAACTTTGTCAAGCAGACAAAAGCTAAGATTGATAGGTTCTTATCTGCTGTCCATGGAGGAACAACCAGCAATATTCCAGGCTGGTTGTTTCAGTCCATTGAGCAAAAAGCTTTTTGTTCTTTTAGAGCAGAGACCAAAACAGCATTCAAATAGCATTCAGCTGCACGTCTGGAGCTCCACAGTGCTTCAGAAAAGAAAGTAATGGTTGTGTCAGTCAAACAGAGCCCTCTTTAAAATTAACCAGTAAATAGCCAATTATATGTTTACTAAGAAAACTTTACTTACTTTTTACGTACTTTTGGTTTATTGGTGAGTCTATGGCCACTTTTGGCCCTGTGCACAGATAATTAATTTCACAAATCCTCACTCATTTTGTGAAATTTACAGTGCATTGGAAATTATTTTTGAGACGTTTTTAGAAAAAAATCTTACAAAGGCTAAAATATTTGTGGTGGAAATGACGCCACAACAGAGGGACTTTGATATAAAGATTGATATAAATAATTTTCACTTAAATGTTGAAAAAAAATTTTTTTCACTGTTTGTTTGGATTATTATAATGAAACATTTCAAATGTTAACCATTTAACAAATACTATTTGTTACGGTTTTCATAATTTTTAAATGATTAAATGTCTCTGTCTAGAAGAAGAGTCAAACAAATCTATATATACCTATAAAATAAAATAAAATACATAAATACATGCATAAATTTAAAAAAAGTTTTAATATGACCTTTTTATAAAGGAAGAAAGTCTGTTTTTAACAACCCATGAGACACAATAGGGCCCAAAACACCCTTATATGCAATGTATAAATATTGTTTGTGAGATCCAATACAAATACCAGCATAAATCCCCAAAAATTGCATTTACTGATATCTAGCAATATTGTGACAACTTCAGGATGAAGGACAGGGTAACATTAGTCACAACACTGTCATTTTATTTGGTCTCTCTCCCTCATATTAAAAAAAGTAAAAGAAAAAAATAGAGAATTTCATGTCTCAGAAAGAATAACTACAGCATATTTTCTTGTAGATCAGAGTCAGTTCTCTTGGTTTGGGTTGTAAAAACACTTGCAAAAGTAAGATGAAACCATTAATCTTTGCATTGATAAAGAAGGGAGTTCAGACTGCAAATGGACTGATATGAACAAGATCAGTTGGCAGACTTGCTTTTATTGTTGGCTTATTGCATCATTTGTCATGGTGTCTGTGTGTGGGGTGTTCAGCCATGATGAATGTTATGCTGTATGAAATGCTGTATATGCTTTCACAGAAACTGATGTTCACTAAACTCTTTCCTAGAAAGGAGGCTTGTCCAAATATTCTCATTAGGAACTCTTCCAAAAACAAGGGGAAAATCACATAAACATCTGGTTAAAAATGCCTCAAAAAGATTCATTGAAAGGCCCAGCTCAACGCTAGCTTGACAGAGGTGTGCAATGAGAGTGCATAGCAGCATAGGAGATGCATGTGAGCATCCTTAAGGTCAAGACATTTTCACATTTTATTCTACAGCATAAAATACATCAGTAATACCCCTTGTGTTATTTAAAAAAAAAAAAACTTCTACTTGTCTTGAAAAACGTGGATGCTAACAAATGGCTAAATTGGACTACAGAGGTTGTCAGGACATTAAACATCACCACGCCGTACAGGTAAACTCATCTACTCACTAGTCAGGTTTTACAGCCTCATTGTCACGCTCTTGCAGACTATTCCAAATTAAAGTTTCAGGGGAAATGTTTTTTTTTTTTAATAAAAAGTTACATTTGCCAGAAGCTAAATGGTGGTGACGTTGCAATCATGCGACCATGGTTTAGTTTGTTTATAGGCTACATCTGCATTTTTATTTTTGGTAATGGAATTTAGACCTCAAAATTCATAAAGTTTGTTTTCATTTCTGAAGATTTTCATAATGAACAAAACATCTGAGAATCATAAACTGTTTTTAGTCAAATAGTTTATTTTCTGCAATAATCCAAAAGCCAGTGGAAAAAATCCTATCTGTTTTATTGCCGAGGGAACCAGGGTGATGCTAACTTCTGAGCTGGCCTACAAAAATACATCATCACTGCAGCACTGGCACATAATTTGTACAAGGAGAATCATGTAGATTAAAACAGTAGCGGGCTAAGAATTGATCCCTGGGGAACACCCCATATTGATTTGAGGATTTGTTTACATGAAAATAAGCAAACTTCTTTCTGTCATTCAGATCAAATGAACATGAATGTCTAAGAACAGACGAGAAGACACTACAGGCCCAAGGAAATGCTATCCGGTCCGAACTAGATGAGCCTGAGAACCGGTCAGAACTATTAAAAGGACAAAAAGCAGGCTCATATAGCTACTTGAAAGTACAACTGTGGCTAAGGGGCAATGTCTGTATTTATTTACTAGGATG